GTCCTTTCCTTAAAAAGTCCTTTTTAATTGCACTATATACCCATTGTGTGTCCCATTTAGAGTATGTAGGATTTAAAGCATAACATATCTACTTTGTGTGAAGTGAAGACATGTTTATTTTTTATTTTTAATTTACAAAAAGACCATGTAGCATTTATTGATGTTTTCAAATATCAAATTTGAGTATAGTTTGTGTTTAATAAATCATTAATTTAATTATTGAATCATTGAATTTTCAACATTTGAAAGTTCTTGAATCAATGATCCCGAAGGAGCAGAACAATATAACAAATATAACAACACTAAATTGAATTACGGTGCCACGTTTTACGACTGTCACATAGCACCTGGCATCTTCTCTTGCTAACTTTCGAGAATCCCAATGAGTGAATATTCAAGAATTCTTACAGAACAGATCAATTTTTTTTACAATAAAGAATGGAACTTTTGTTTCTCCTCCAATATTGAAATATTGTATCCTGTATTATTATACTTGTTTCACTTCAGTATCAAATATGCATCAATATCCATTCCATATCAATATCAAATATTTATCATTATTTCTGTTACTTACATATCTAACATATATCGATACTTTTCATTTAGATATAGAATATAATAGAATATATACAGTATATATATACACCCTTCACTTCAATATCGAATTTATTCAAAATCTTTTTTTCACTTTAATATTGGATAAGTTTCAATATTTCTTTCACTTCCATATCGAATATGCATTTGTAGTTTGTATACTTTAATGATTAATATGTGTAAAAATCAAGTTCACAGAAGTATCGAAAAATGTATCAATATTTCGTTTATAGTTATTTATCAATATTTCTCTCCAAACAGTTATGAACAACATTTGTTTCTCTTGAATTTCAAAATGTAAAAATTCTTTCACATCTAGTTCACTATTCACAATACTCCTTTCACTTCAAAATAGATAGGGAATCAAAGTTATTTCACACCTGTATTAATATTGAGTGATGGTTGTTCACATAAGTGTTGAATATGTTCGTTCGAAGCGCTATTTTCCATAAAGTGTAACAGAGTTAAAGTTAAATATTTATAAGCAACCCTAAGAGTTGGTCATCCCCATGCTTATCTGAGAAACAATTGACTTAAGTTTTGACGCAGCTTTTAGAATAATCAAATATTTATTGGTATAATTTTTACCAATGCATGCATGCTACTTTGACGGAACTAAAATTACTGAAATGCATTGCCTTTTTCTTAAATTACGCTTTGAAATGTTATGCTACAAAAGCAAGAATTTATTGAGTATTACTACACAGAATCAAGAACACAAAAAGATCAGGAACGTAAAATACGAAAAAGACACCAAAACGACATATTTTTGCAAAGAACGAACGTTTCTGTTCGGCAACAATGCCTGTCGTATGCTTAATTTGTAAACATATTATACTAGTCTTAGAGTATGTCATTTTAAAGAACAGCTGTTCCCCATATCAGATGTGCAATCATTGTTATTGTAAAAAAGTGCTTAGATGTAAAACACTTAATGCCCTAACTCTCAATCTACCGACAAAACACAATGGAGCAGCAAATGGGCGAGCTCGCAACGCCTTGGCATAGTCAGCATAACCTCTATATCACTGCGCATGTTCTATATTTTTATTTGCTGAACGTCATGTGTTTAAACCTGTATATACCGTGCGTATTTTTCTCCTCAAACACACAGATTTATTCTTAGCTGTTAGCGTTAAAAATTTGTTCCATATGCAACAAAACTGAGGACATCCGTCATTTCATTCTATTACATCACTGAAAGTAAATATTCGAGGATGGAAAAGTTATTCACATACTTTTCTGTTTTTTTCTCATTATATTTTGATGTTTCTGTTTGAAAACAAGTTACCTAAATGTACGAAAATCATTTTACACAGACAAAGATTTAAGTTTATTAAAATAAGTGCTTACAACCTAGAATATACATTGTATATGACGCCACTGTCAACATTAATTGCAAATAAAGAATTTAAAAAATCAGGAGTAGACAATATAAATAAATCATCATACACGGAAATGAGTGTTTAGCAAAAGGGTTTAAACAATTGCATTACATTAATGCTTTATGGAACATACAATAACTTTTATTTTCGTCATCATTACAAATATCCTTTGAGGTCCACAACGGGGAATCTAGAGGCAACATCGTGAATTTTTCACTTTTAATATACAACAGCTTTGTAAAATCGATACACAAGTCGCAGGTTTGTACTAAATGTCACGTTTTATATTTTTTCTTTATATGGTTTATTCTTCCATATTAACAGAACCGAACAGAACAACAATTTTACCTGAACAATAAGTACATCATTAGCTATAGGTCAACATAGATATGTAAGCTAAATTATGAACTCCTGCTTAAGTGACCGCACAACTACTTGTCAATTGTGACAAGAAGCCCTTGGTAGTCTTCAAAACGGAATTGTAATGAGTCCATTCTCTTTTATTATTTTGAAAACTAAAAAAAATATTGTTTTAGAAAGAACACGAAAAAATGTTTATCAAATTATCAATGCTTTTGATAAAGATGACACAAACAATGATATAAGTACTTAAACAGCACACGAAAAGAGTACAATTTAGTTCTTTCTATCTATATTCTATCTAAATTGTACTGCTTGTAGGATATGGGTTAAGTGTTTTTATCAAGTGAGTGAGAATTGAATTGATCAGATTACATGACTATAAAAGGTTTTGATGATATAGTATATACATGTACATTAATAAAACGAATCATTTACTAACACTTTGTTATCGGTATCAATATTTCTTTCCAACTCTGTTGATAATGCTGAAAACTGAAAATAAAATCAGATTAAATATTAACCTTAAAAGAAATTGATAACATTGTTGTTCAAAATCGAAAAAATGGAAACTTTACTGATAGCACAAAACAGCAACGCTGATCAATACTAAATTGAAAATCGATATTTAATGTGATTCTAAGCCCGGTCTGATTTCAAAGCGTGTGTGCGAATTTCGTTTTATTAGCCAATTTTTGCATAATAAACATTATTTTGGAAAGAGAGAGAGAGCGAATAGTCTGAAGTTCTGCATTTAAGTAAATAGTATAGACTAATATCATATAGTATAGAAATCTTGCAAAATATCTAAAAATTATTTCAAGTCCCGTTCTGTCAAACAACAAAATACTAAATGAATAAATAAAAAAATAAAAATAAACAAGAAATTAACACCCCAAATGGAGTTGATTGAAATCCATGATCCTTCAGGAAGTTGAATTACTTATTATCAATTTATCAGTTTTAATTATAAGAAAATAACTATATAAAGAAAATTTAAAATATATGTATATCACGAGAATGGCAAAAATTATAATTGTTTTAAGTTTTAAGACGTTCCCGTTAAAATAAAACTCAAGTTTCTTAATTTCATATAACAGATTATTTTTAATTGCAGTTTTTGATCTCGGTGAAATACTTAGGATTGAATTTCGTATTGATTCACCCATACATATAGTTAAGCAATTGTTAATACATGTAGCAGTCATTGGGGCGCATTAAAATTGTACCTGTAATTGTATATATGTTGGTATTCGGGCACTCTGACAAAATAATCATGAATTTATATTAATGTAACCATTCCTTCAGGTATTTCATTTTTATATTTATAAAAAAAACTATGTCCTAAGTAACACATATTGACTAATTCCATGTAATTAATCGGAAAAAAAGTATCAAAATGAATCCGAAAGAAAAACGATAAATTATGAATATGCATGATATACCTTTAGTTCTTTTCTGTTTAATCATTGCAATGACAACATATATCCTGAGTAAAACAATAGATGCAGCAAAAATAGAACCAAGAAGAGTCCAAATATTGTCCTTCAATGATTTTATGATGCATCGACTTCCCAATTATAACAAAAAATTGACATGTTAGTCATCTTGGCACCTGTCCTGAAACGGAAATGAAACTGTAATTGTAGGTTATGATGCACCGACTTCCCAATAATAACAAAATAATTGACATGTTAGTCATCATGCACCTGTACGGAAACGGAAATATTGAGGATATTTGTTTGTTTTGCATGTAAGATTGAAATATAATTTCACTGAGTGAACACCAGATGCAATATTTTCACGAGTTGCGTAGAATAGCTGGTGTTCACGAATGAAATATATTTCAATCTTATATGCAAAACAAATAAATTTTCTTTTTATTTCATGCTCTTTAAGTGACTGTATTTTCTAACAGATTTTGCCGCGTAACGTCGCGCATTCTCCTTTGTGACGTCATCACATCATGACGTCACATCATCAATTTTGAAATGTAGTTCTGTTAAATTACTCAAATTTTGATACATTTTCAACATGATGTATGATGACATCGATTTTCTTTTCATAGAGAAGCAAAATTTACGTATGACAGCATTGATTTCTGCCTTTCATTCCATTTAGTTCTGATTTTCTTTTCATTCGCATTCAGATATATTCCGGCTACAATGAAAATTATTTTTTATAAATTTCACTAGTGGTTTATCAGAATATAATCGTCTGATATTTTTCAATAAAACACTGGAAAGTATGAAATAAAAAAACTTTATTGTAGGAATTTACACTATAACGGCTATTACAACGTTTTCAGCAGAAGTCAAGACTTTCGATCAAGGTAATTGATCTTGTAAATCTGGTCTTCTTGAAAAGACGAGGGCTTCCATTACCATCACTTGCAATATTGCTCGTTAATACAAACATCAAAAAATTTGTAACTGCTAGTAGAATTTTGTTAAAGCCTTTTTGATAAGTATTTTTAATCATTCAAACGTTTGAATCACTTTGCAACAGTACAATATCATTTACAACCATTATCTAATTCAAACACTTAATCGAATGTAACAAAAAGTTTAATTCTAAATTATGATTGAGGAAGTTTTCACTTAAGGTGCTTTTGATGATAATAACAGGGGAAACAACAGATATGGTATGATGTGATATACACTTCATTTATAGTGTTGGCGGGGGAACTAGTAGTCGGATGTCACGCACATGTAAAACAATTAGATCTAACCCACGACTCATTTCACTACATGTAATCGTAAACAATGGTTTATTTAAAACATGAAGAAGATTAAAAGTTACAGCAATGTTTAACTTTTTCTTTTGAAATTGTGTATTTATTCTTAATGAATAATAATTTGGATACTACATTTGTATTATATATAAAATGTCAAGGAATATCTGTTCTCTGTGCACGGTAATTTCGGCTATATTATCAACAGTCATCATACCCAGCAAAGGTAGGTTTTGTTTATGTTTTATTTGTCACTTGTCTTGATCAAAATACTTTGCTGCTATTGCGTGACAATACGCCTTTGCTTCTATACTTTGAATATATTTTGTTACGTTGCTTCACTTCTTTTTGATTTAAAAATATGAAAGGGAATCTGAAGCTTTTTGACATGACGGGGCTGAAAATATTTGGTCAAGATCTATTTTGATATATAAGTCTAGACCAATAACTTGTGTCATCAGCACACTCCGTTTTTCCAAAATGTTTATTCTTACTGTGAAAATTTACCAAATATTTAAAACCGTTGCAACGCATTTTACAATAAATTGAGCAAAAAATACAATTTTCAATTTTTACCTTTTACATGTATATTCTAAATTATTTTTAACAATCTTTTCTGTTTTTAAGTATCCAGCTGATCTATATAACAAATTCAAATTTTATAGTTTTTGGCTTTTGAACCTCCGTGAAGTTCCTTTAATATTGCAATATCATGACAGTTGTAAAAAAGTAAAGTCACCACCAAGGAACGAAGACCCCTTCCCCGGTCACTATTGAAAATATTACCACTTTCCTATAAATTACTGACTCCCTCTAAAGTAAAATACTCCCCCTTTAGAAACTTGTAGAATATTAGCCCCGTTTAAATGAGCTCAAATTGATTATCTTTATCAAACTACTGAAAGCTACTATTCTGGCCGCAATACTGACTACCCTGTCCTAATGCCTTAGAAAAGGGATCCCTTTTCTATGTATACATACTTTAACTGCTGACGAATAATTACCTAGTCTCTGATATTAAGTAAAGACACAATGCCTAGATTAAGCTTAGATTGCGAGAGAAAAAAAGATCAGTGGCAGCCAATTAACATTTTCATTTTCAATAAAACTGGAACCTAATTTGAACTCTGAAGTCCGTTTTTTCAAGCTGTGTCAACGGAGAAACATAATTGTGAACATCGAAAGGCTCCATCAAAAGACCCCTGGATTTAGAGAAAGAAACACTAACCACTCGAAAACCGCTTCTCATTAAATATTTACTTGTATTAAAATATTTAAGTAATATTTGACGGATGAATATGATTTTAATCAATGAAAATGATTTTTCTAGCGATGTTGGTTACCGAATACTACACAAATAAATCTGACTGTCAAGAAGTGGAATTATATATAGAGTCTACATGTCGGACTGCTTTAGCGGGATGATTTTCGCTCAATTATTTATATCAATTTTAACAGGTTTATTGTGACCAAACTACCTCGAAATTAATAAGGATTACAAACCCAAAATGCAATGGAAATTCTAAATTCAGAATAACTTGATTTTATTCAGGCTTTGTGCGTATACTTCTACGTGGCGCTACTTTTGTGTGTGAGAGGTCTGGGGTTCAAAGCCCGGTCGAGGCAACTAGTTTGTTTTAAAAAACAATAATTTTAAGTGTCTTTGTTAAGGAAGTAGCCACGATATGCAAGGATAAAGTTTGACTGTCATAAAAAATGAACATAAATAATATTTTGGTGCATCTCTAGTTATGCAAAATCCCGTATGTATCAAACTCTGGTGCCCTGCAAGATGAAATATAGTACATAAAATTAAACTTATACAGGAAAATACAAGCAGATATACAGTACGATATAGATTGCAAAGATCAGAAAATACCACAGAGCCTGCAGCCCTTTGATTTAGCAACTCGTCATTAAATATTAGTATCTTTTAAAAATAGAAACAATTGACATGGAGGAGTCATTATTAAAAGGAGGTCACTTTTGTTCGCGAGGATCATTTTTCTTAGTGTGGGGTGGTCATTATACATTTACCATGGGTCACATCTTTAAGTCGATATACTTAAAAAATAAAACCGGGCGGTTCATAAATCTATGGGGTTCACTTTTCTTCATTATACCGGTTTTTCATTCCGTAGAAACAATTCAATGTGCCTTTGCTGCTTATGACATTAATGTTTTTGATGAATTATTCTACTTACTAGGTGTAGTGCTAGACTGTTATACCACAACAGTTTCGAAGTACGACGGACATCAGCAGACGTCTAAAGACGAACAACCGTGTTTACGATGGGATCAGTTTGAGACATACAGTGCGAGTGACTTTCCAGATGCCACAAAGTCAGACGCAGCTAACTTCTGTCGTTCTCCAGATGGACATAACGAATCCTGGTGTTTTACAACAGATCAAGGAGATCGGCGGCCTTGTGGTATCACAAAATGTGGTGAGCAAAAATATATCTTTTATTAATTTTCAAATGTATAATTACTCGTATAATTAGTAACAGGTTATCAAAATTTATTTCTGTGATTTAAAAATGTTATCTTGCAAAAGTGCATGTCAGGTTTTCCATAAGTAGAAGTAACAAGCTAATTAACATGTCTTTGCTGCTTATTTTTTACATGCTTTTAGTTTCTATATTTCTCTATGGATAACCAGATTGTGATAGCTTTCGCTTGTTTTTGCTGCGTATAATTGTCATCACTTGCAAACAGACGTCTGTTTTGGAAAACTGTGTTTACGATGGGACCATGTTTACGGATACTGTGCTACCTGGATGGTACAAAATCATACTCAATTTATTTCTGTCATGCTGCTCCTGGATGTAAAGAACTTTGGTATTATATCCCATTATCTTAAACCATTTAGCTCATATAGACGTGTTTTGACGACTTTCAACACCTTTGGAGCCTCAAATAGTTAAAAATGCCCTGTTTTGACACAAACACTTGTTTTCGTTCGAGAAGTAAATATGGTTAGAAAATTGATTACTTTTTCGGCGCTGCAAGAGGGGGTATGTGCCCCCTTCTGCTTGGTGAAGGGTTGGAGGGGGACAGAAGTCCCCCTCATCGAAAAGAAAATCTGGTGAGAGACTATAATGGCGTAAGGTCGATCCGAATGTCACGTGTAACCAACGCTTGAAAACATTTAACTCTATCTCAATCCATTGAGAAAAGTTGCAGCACTTTGAAATCAGTTATGCTGTAAAAAATCAACGAAACGTAGTGAATTTTTGCAATTTTGAGATGTCAACCATTGGCATGGTAACCGGAAAATAAATATTGAGCCTGCTGTTTCAAATGCTATGGTCTAGTCAACATTTGTGCCAAGTTCATCCTTTCATAGCAGTTTGAATTTGAAACAGGAGGCTTTCACAAAGAAAACTCATTTTTAACAATATGCTCATACAGTAAAAGGTTATTAATGGGCTTGAGCTTAGGTTTTATCGATTTGGCGAAAAAACTCCCATTAGCCCTAGCGAAATAGAATCGGCTGAATAATAATCTGATACCTACTGTAGTTTATAATATAATTGGCATTTAATTAAGGTGATCAAACTTGTTTTCGAAAAAGATGATGTTGTTGTAATGTTACATTTAAATAGAACGGTTTGATTGGCTTTTAGCTTGATAATGTTTAAAGCCTGATGTAATTTATTTATATCCAGTAGTAACTTGCTACATGTAAGAGTGAAATTGAATTTTATTTTATGCTTTTCAGTGGATTACTGATTTATCCGTGAAAATTATATTTGATAATTTCACAGTGAAAATTATCAAAATATAATTTCACTTTTTTCAATGACGAAACTACTTTTTTAAGATTTTCCCCATGTGGTACCTCAATTTTATTTTTACTGACAATTCTGACAATATCAGGCTGTCAAAAAAATAGCAAAGCTGAAATAGATAAATAACTTAAATGTCAAAAGTAATAAAGAGAGAAACCTTACTTCTATTCCTTCAATTTCCAATCACAAAATTTCGTCTCTAATTTTTTTTGTTTCGTTTTTACAGTCTGAAAATTACATTCCTTCCCCATGCTAAACTGCTCTTGATGACATTTGGGCATATTAAAGTATCCTACGAGCAATAACTGCCGTATGCTTTATGAAAAATTGAAAAGCATTGACAGCCATCACTCGTAAAATAAGTAAAACAACCCAGGGTTCCTTACAATGCCTTAGCAAGCTTCCAAGTTTTCCATTTTCCTAGCTCCTTTTCTGAATGTTTTCACTTCTGTCAACACATATTTTTTGTCTGTTACAATCCTCAAATAAGTTTTCTTTCTTTTAAGAAGGTGTATGACTAACAAATCCAAATTATATCCTTCTGAATCTTACACAATTATTTTCCTCCCATGAAATACACAACTTTAAAAAATGGCTGCCGCTTACATTTTACAAAGCCAGGTCTAATATAAATTCGCAGTAAGTAACAGAAATATGGATGGATGGTTGGACTTTTTCTCTTACAAGAATTGTTTGTTTTTATTATTAAAACAAGCGATCATTCATATTTTTTTAATAAAATGAATAAATATCACCGTCATTTAACCTTGATTGGCGGACTTATTTTTCAGCTCAAGACTTCTTGTTTTTAATGAGAAATTCCCTCTAAATGGGGCTCTCAATGGGGGAAACAGATTTTAATATTAACGTTAAAATTATGGAAATTTCGTTTTAATAACTTGTTTTAAAGCATAAAATAAAAAGAAAATTTGTCTGTTTGTTGTGTAAGATGTAATTTTATTTCATCTCGTGAACTTTAAAAACAGTATTCTCACTCGTGGCTACGCCACTCGTGAGAATACTGTTTTCAAAGCCCACTCGATGAAATAAAATTTCATCTTACACACAAACAAACAAATATCCTCTATATCTTGTTAATGAAATTAAGGAATAAATTTATTAAAGATATTAAGATTTTATAGCTGAACCAAATATTGTTATTTGTCCTAAAGTTGTTTCTTATTTCGATCTCTATTTTTATTGTTATTATCCGATTTTATCCCAATATAGGGTAGTTTCTTTGTTAATCAGTAAATTTTGTTTAGTACCATTTTGTGCCTTATACGATCAATAATTTTATTCTATTTCTAAATAAAAAAATATTGATCGTTTGATCTCGATCTAGAATGTTAAAGAAATGAAATGATCTAGATATCATTTCAAATAGTTAAAAATGCCCTATAGTTAGAAATGCAGATCTAGATATTAAAGAAGTGGCAATGTTATCTGTTTTGATTTTTGTTCACGGCTAACCTTTTCCCTGAAATTGATCTTATACACTGAGTATACTGTGATCGTTTAGTCGGATTAGTAGTCGTTCTATTGCGGGGGAAATTGATAGTCACTGGTTAGTCATCCGAGAAATTTTAAGCCGGTAAGGTTAATCGAGCGCCGAAATATGACCAAAAATTATTTAAATTGGCGTTGAAAACAAAAACAAAAAACATCAATCAAACAGTATAACAAAAGGCGAGGGTCTTGCAAATGGTTCGACTCTATCAATATCATTTCTATCACTAACTTTTATCTTTGCACCTTTCAAAAAAAAGCTGTAACTCCATCCTGCAAAAACGTTTTTGTCGTATTTATTTGTATATAACACTGAAAAATTGCCAAAAAGGGTACTTCCTAATTTTTTGTTTTCATTCTAGACAGCGTGAAACTAAACAACTTCACACTTGCATTAGATGACATTGTTTGGACCAAACTGACCCCTAGCTCCATCTTAAGGAAGAATACTATGACCGTTTTTACCTAACAAGTTTGAAATACATCTGTCAATAAAAAAGGCTGTACGGGCAAAAGTGTAAAAATATATTTTTAGCACTCGTGACCTTAACCCAACTGACCCCTAACTCCCTCCAATAGGAAGAAAACCATGTATGTTATTTTCCTACCAGATATAAAATATATTTGTCAATAGATACAGGCTTATGGCCAAAATTGAAGAAAAATTTATTTCTAGCACTGGTGACCTTGACCCACTGACCCCTACCTCAATCACAAGGAAGAATCCCATTCTATTTATTTTCCTACCATATATGAAAGACATTTGTCCATAAAAAATGTTGTATGGGTAAAGTGTAAAAATCTATTTAAGCACTGGTGACTTGCCAGATCACGTACTTTGTGTTGAATAGTAAGTGTGTTAAGAATAAATCCATTTGTATAGGCAGAACTTGAGAAAAACTCAACTTGCCAACTTGTCGTTTTAGGTTAATCTCGTACGATAAGACGGACGGACTGTATAATTTCTATATTCCCGGGGGATAAAAACCGACGTTTACAGCCTTTGTATTTTTTCTAGAATGCCCTGTTATCCACCAATCACAAACTTTTTCAATGTCTAAACGGTTTTCAGAATCACTGCTTTCTGATAGCCTGCACAACTGACTATTCCTTTAACCGATTATCGCGCATCTTAGTTAAACTACAACATTATCATTGGCGGCGTTTCTCTTAGTGACAGAGACCCTGTCATATTAAAGGCCAACACAAACTGGTGGCATATAGCACAGGTAATTTCTAACTGTTCACATTGAAATGATCTGAGGTTCCTAAATACCACATTTGAAGCTTTAAATTTATAACAGCCTAGTCGCATTTATAAAGTTACATGTTTGTGAATTTTTTATCACATGACAAAGGAACTAGTCACTACATATGACTGTTTTTATTTCAATTCAAATTTATTTTTGCGTGCTCATTTAGAACTTTATTTATTAAGCTTAATTCTTCATCAGCATGCATAAATGTTTAATCGACGAATGTTGGTGATGGTGAATTATTAAAAATGTATTTGTTTTCAACTATATTTACGAAAATGAATTTAGTAGTACACTTAACCAAATTTCGAATGAGTCACCCCTTAAAATGCCTTTCGAGAGGTTTATTATTCGGAATGTTATATCTAACTTACGAAGTGAAATCAAGTTATCGCATTTAAATCAACCATGCGTGACAAAAATAGAAAAAAGACAATTTCAATCACGCGAAACACCGGGAAATGTTGCTTGCATCAAATATGACCATAATTGTTATCCGTATAAAAATCTAATAAGAAACAAAAATATGTCGAGATTTTCAAAATATGAACATGGAAGCAATGTTGGCCATCACAATTTCTTTGCGCTTTACATTGACTTTCCATTTTAGGAAAGTTTTAACTACAGTATTGTTTTTAAGCTTGATTGCATGATGACAGAAAAGAATCAATGAAACAAGGGGATACAGTTTTTGTTTAGTTATCTGTCTCTGAAAGTGAGTCCGGCATATTCTGATAGAACAAGGAAAAACATCATAATAATTGAAAACGACTGTTTCAGCATAAATGATTTCAGGAAAATGTAAGAAGTGATAAATTGATATAATAGCGAGAACTTTTCGAAACATTTATCATAAAATTTGTTAAGTGTAATTATCATAACAAGACATGAATTCAGTAAGATATTATGTGAATGTTTTAATTGATGATGGAATTTTTCTACAGGTGACGATGGTTTGAGTAATTGTGGTCAATTGAGTATTGCCAAACCTACAATACTAGGACGGTATGTCGAATTTTCTTTTACCCCCGACACGTATGATCCAAATGCAATTCTAGAATGGCAGCGCAGCATGAATGGAAAAGATCGGTGGAAAACGCTCCCCTTAAACGACAAGTTTAATCAGTTTGAGAAAAATATGATTTACCACATGATATTATCAGACACTGAGAAAAACCAAGACGAGAGATTTTACCGAGTACATTATTATAATGAGACATCACATTGCTGGATGAACGCTGGTAAACTGACGCTTGAAGGTATGGTGTATTAATTTATATAGTAATCACCAAAATATAATATTATTTTCTCTTAAAAGTATGTTTTGTAACAGGGATCAGCATTTTGTTAAAATAATAAGTAAACGCAAGTATTTTGTACCGTTGAATAATGTAAGAATTGTTTGTATTCATGATTCTGAATATCCGTCCGCCAATCTCGTTATTCTTCAATCATAGTTGTTGTTTTATCTTATTTAAACGCTGTGATATAGAAAATGGTTACTTAAACGTAACTTATAATGTTTATCATCGTTACTCAAGTTCTTATCAATGATTTATAGCGAGCTTTTAAATGTTGGCCCGATGGGCCTGCTTGCAAAGCGAGCTTTGCGGCTACGCGGTACCTGCTAAATACTGGTTTTGAAAACTTTCGCCGGAAGTAAATGGAAAATTGACACATCGCATCAAAACAGACCCGTAGACTGGTGTCTGGCGCACTTTTATTGGAACCATAAGATGACAGGGAACAGTGCATAATAACCGAATGGTACTTTAAAAACGGAAATTGTAAAATAAAAATGAACGATTATTTTAACCGACTTCCCCGTTCAAGGACTTTGCCTAATTTCATATTTCCCGAACTATAATCTGGTTCCCTGTCCTATTATAGTTCTCATCCATGTTTTCTGACGAGTAGATTCAATTTATAATTTTCAAATATCATAGAAAACATGAAATGGCCGTACACAGTGTGCGGCTGTGTAGCTGCCAGTAGGTTTAAATTATATTTTACTATAATGTCTGTCAAAGAGCTCGCTTTGAGGCTTTGCCTTTTTCATATAAGAAAGAAGGCAAAGCCTGTATGAACAAGGAAGTCAGATTAAAAAATCGTTTATTTCTTTATTTATATTTTCGTTTTAAAGGTGTCGTATGGTATTTTATGCACCGCTACAATTTTCAATCGGAAAACCTCGGCTATATTCTTTTGCTTATAAGCTGCGATTTGTTCTGTTATTGGAATGATCCGGCGATTATCATGAGTTACATAAAAATGGAGGCGCCAACTTAAAAATAGTGTTAAACATTTCGATGATATGTTATCTATATATTTTTAATTATTTTTATTTAATTTCCTTTTAAATATACACTTGTAGTCTATAGTGGGGCAAGCCAAAGCGAGGGACCGCTTTGCGGACCGCCCTGTGACAAACCAGTATGAAAGGGGAAGTCAGATAAAATAGTGTTCTTTTTTATGTTACAGTTTCCGTTTTGAAGGTGTCATTTGGTATTTTATGCACTGTTTCCATTTAATCTGGTTATTGTCCTATAGTGCGCAGGAGGCCAGTCTATGTGTCCGTTTTCAATCAGAATTCCTCGGTTTTTATTGTTACCTTGTACTAAGTCGATAATTTGCGTTTGGTTCATTATCGGAATACTTGCCGCTTGTCATTGCGTTACGGCGCCCAATAAGAAATGATACTGTAAATTCCACTGATAGGGATAGAATTCTATGTTTTTATTTTATTTTATTTAAAAATTGTATTTCCTTTAAAATAAACACCTGTAGTCAATAGCAGAAGCTTTGACTTCCCCGTAATTATTGGAGGGAAAATAAATAAATAAAAATAAGTAAATTTATAGATGTATCTAACTACGTTGCCTACACTTAACAGTATTTTTTTAGGATTTTGACAGTTGTCGATAATCTCATCAATTTGTATAAAATCATAAAAACAAGTCAAAAATTAAAAAAAAATCAAATATCGTAAAACAATATAAACCTTTATGGTCTTTAATAAAATTAGAAACATGATTAAAAACATGTTTTGAGAATCATTTAAATAAGTTATACCAAAAAAGAAACTTTTATGTACTGGAAAAGTGAAATTATCCGGTATTTCTAAAATGATGTATCATCTGATGGCTATATGTTTGGCATTGAAACAAAAAAGGTTCAGCATCTTCTATTATAACACTGAATTCACACGCTGGGTTTCGGATAATACGATTGTTTTATAAGACGGAGTTTAAACTACTTCATTTGTATGGTGTACTGCTGGTGAACGCCCACTGTTTATATTAATATAAAGAAAGACAGAATAATGGGAGGTTTCTTTCAGTTTTCTTTAAAAGTTTGCTTAAGTGTTTGATTCTTTAATGCCTTTTAATATTTCGCTCCAAAGTTGTATTGATGACGCGATAATTTATTCTGAATAAAGTTTGGAACTCCTTGCCAAAGTAACATAGTTTGATGTTATTTCTTAAACTATAATGCTTTTCAGTTGCATTTTGTACTTCAGGGAGAAATAACAGTGCTAAAGATAATGACAGTAAATGACAATGTATGTTTCTCTTTGTAAACCTTTTTTTAATATTTCTTTTTTCTGCGAAAGATACCCATCTTTCTAAAATATCTTTCACATATTGGGTACAGCCATCCCATAAAGGTTAAGCATATTCTAGACGTATGAAATGTAATGCTTTGGTCTTAAAATTTTGTAATGTTCATAGAACTAAAATTTAGACACCAAAGAAACTATTGTAAAAATATGTTCCTGACATGACATACAAATGTAATTGAAAATTATCAAAATATATCTATTGGCTATTTTTACAAAACGAGAAGAACATAACATCGGTTTTGGGATTCCAGTTAACTAACCATTGTAAAGACTATTTATTTACATATTGAGATCGTGATTGAGTTGATTTTCCATGTCACTTTGTAGTCACAGCTAAAGCATAATCATCTGCAAAAAGTCACGTTATACTTAATAGGGAATTACAGGGAAATTTGCAATATCATTAACGTAAATTAAAAACAAAAGGGAACGAAATATTTAAAAAGGAACAACAACAAGAGCACACACAATAAACAAAAGAAACAAGAAATAAAAAATACAGTCGAGCGTTGTCTGCATCCGGTGGTGGCTCTTTTTATCTGTTCCTTCTAGATTTTATTTATTTTTGATTGAGGCTCATCTGATCTTTTTATGTCGATTCATTGTGGGTAATATGAATAAGTCTGCTTTTATCAGTGTAGGTTCTTAAACAAGTGCAACTAATTGGAATTTCTTAATTTCTTAATTCTGTAATGAAAACCCGAATAGGTTCTACGATTAATAATCGTCTTATCTTTTTACCTGTGTCAATGGCTGATTGGTTAAGGTCGACCGTAGTTGACTTTAAACCACTTGCCGGCCAATATCGACAGGGATATTGGAATCTTTAATATGAGGAAGAAAGTAAGCTTACGGCCATTGGTAGTACAACTCAGGCGCCAGGTCGTGTCCATGTGACAACGACTGTATTTCTGCGACGTAAAATCAAACTTATAAAAAAAACACTTCTTAGTTAGTTACTTAAGCCAGAGCCAACATGTTATTTAATTAAACACCTGGAATCAAATACCTAAAAATATTTTCCAGAAACAGGACATTGTGGACTAGTGTACCTCAGATCTGAGAAGTTAATTAAGAATGGGACCGTAGAAATAGAATATTACCCGTCAAGTTATGTGATGGAAAATAGCGGTAGTTTCGAACGAAGCTGGGTACACACTGTCGACAAAAAAATAGAAACGTTGATATTGGCTGATGGCAGTTTCGAAGAGACAGTGGGGCAAAATAACAAATATGTGTTGACAATATATATGTTAAGTGTTTCTATGAATGGAAGATACAGTGTTTATTGTGGTGAGAGGTTATTATACACAAACGATATACTGATTAAATTACCAGGTTTGTTTGTGTTTCTAAACTACTTTGGATCTCCACTGAGGTCAAAGCATCTTATGCATTTTATTTGAAAGTTTTACATAGACCATCTAAGACCTTAAAATCATTAAGATAGGAAAAAATAACTCATAAATAAATGAATGTCTATTTTTTGCTACTCTTTGCCCGAATTGATTGAAAAGCATTACAACACTTTTCAAGTATGGGTCAGTTTTCGCAATTAGAATATTTACTATGGAAAAACGGAGTGAGCAAATGATGCGAAATTTTTTACACAAGCTATTAATGTCAATCTATACTAAACGGAAAACTTATCTCGAAAAGTTGATTTCAGTCCCTTTCTGACAAATAACCTCAGTTGGGTACTTTTTAAAAACTCATAATAAAGTAGACGAATGGGTAACAGCAAGTTATCCATCATACCAGTTTATGTGTTTTATTTTAAATGTGCACGAATCTTGTTGCTTGCACAAATGACGTTTTTTGTATAGTTATGATGTTTTGTAAAACATATCAAAGCGTTGTAAAAAGAAAATTTCGAAAACACAAAATTAAGGAAAAAAACAGAAAAGACACGATCACAAATTCTCTGCAGATTCTCTGCAGTTAACCTTTTTCTTACATATTTTCAGAACCACCAAATACACCTGTCATAATTGGATTACAAAACATAGAAAATTGCAGGAACTGTATTGTTGGTGAGGATAATGAGATGTTTAAACTTGCCTGTGAGATACACGGTGGTACCCCTCCTCTAACCATTACCATGACAATAGGAAAGGAATCATATATACCTCTAGAATGGAATTCAACAACCTATATAGTACATTTTACGGTTAGAGACAACCATCACATGGAAAATGTGATAATTTCGGTCATGAACGATGCATTGTTGTCACCTTTAAATGTTACTGCTCAGATGTTTGTTATAAGTAAGTATTCTATGCAAATTATGTGTATTTAGGATGGTTTGTTTGGATACTATTACACTTTGAAAACTCACAATGCCAAATGTTACAATCATTTCTTTTTTGTATACAATACCGAATGTTACCAACTTTGCTTGATGTGATTTGATAAATTTAATCTCATATGTTTTATACTTTAGATATGAAAGATTTATTAATTGTAATATAACCTTTATTTGTATATGAACAGAACCACCAACGTTTCAAGTTTCGGTCCCGGAAATTCTGAGAGATGGAGAAGCAGTTAACATCACATGCACGATTGATGATGGAAGACCTAATCCGAATGTGTATCTTAGCATTTCCGGTTCAGCAGTATCGTCTGTAGACTCACATTTCTATAATTCGACAACATCTTTACATACCAACATCATCACTTTGACCACATTTAAGAAAGAATGGAACAAGGAAAACATCACGTGCTGTCGATATAACGAATGGTACAAAATTGTGCGGGACTGTCCACCGCCAAAACAAGTTAATTATCAATGTGCGTTTTGTTCTGTTAAATTTGTTTAATATATTGTGTATACTACATTATAATTATCATATTTTATTTATAGCCTGCTTAATTCCCCTATATTTTAGATTCTTTTCGCTTGATATAAATACATACTGATGTAAACAATTGATGATATTGTATCAACGCAGACAAATATCTTAAAAAAAACCTTTTATTTTGAGCCTGTAACATGAAAACGTATATTGTATTAAATGAAAATTGTTTCAAAAGCAGAACATGGTATTTAAGTTTAATTTTTTGTTTTGTTTAGTTCCTCCCACATATGTGATGTTAGAAGTCAAGGTTGATGAACACCGGCTGAGCCGAATGTATGCTACTTGCACTGTGTATGACTCGAATCCAGCATGTAGCGTTCAGTTTAGTGCACCAAGCGGTATCATCGGATCAGAAAAGTCTTCAGAGAACGTACGTCTACCTCATGGTGCATGGAATTCTGTGTATGAAGTAAACTTGAATGTCAGTGAAGAAGACAATGGTAAAGATGTAACGTGTATAGTTGAGTGTGACGAGTTTCCTGTTGACCTTACAGACACTGTCAAAATACTTCTGCCTTGTAAGTTTCTAGACATTTCGTTAATTTTGTTGATAAAGATCACGATTAATATTTAGATAGATACCTGAAATATCATACAACACTGTCGCTCTGAAGGCAAAAAAAGTTCAAACGTGTAAGTCGCTGCAACTTTTTTCAAAATTTAAATTAGCATTATTTTTATATCCAAACGTATACTTAGAATGTGAAATATCATTCTTGGAGTATTTTGTTTCATTGTTACAGTAAAGTAATCTAAGTAACTTTTTTCCGATTTATGTGTTACTGCGTTTGAGTTTTTATCTGTATCTGCATATATGAGCTTATCATCAAGATAAATATTCCGATTGCACCAATCTCCTATTATGACAAACATGATAATTATTGTATTGATCTCAAATTTCAGTCCCTCCAGTTATAAGGTTTAATATATCTGGATCGACATTGAATATTTCTGAAGGAGATCGGGCACATGTAAAATGTGAAGCTGAAAGCGTTCCTGCCTCCAATATATCATGGACTGAAGAGTTGAGTAATGAACACATAACGAAGAAGCAATGTGACTTGTCACCAAACTGCGTGTTAAATATTAATACTGATGAAGTTTCAAATAGACGTTTTATGTGCCATGTTCACTATAAGACAAAAGTTGATCACAAATATTTGACTGTACAAATAATAGGTAATGTGTTTACATTCCTTATGCTTTTTTAAAAATAATTTCAATAACAATAATCCTTGCCTTGTTAAACAGAGTGTTTGAAAAGAAAAATGTCGTTTGTATCTGTATCGACATAGGAAAGCGGGCACATGTAAAATGTGGAGCTAAATGTTTATATTCATTTACAACTTTGACATCATACATCACTGTCCTCTTATAGCACACTGAATTCACTTCTCTAGTTGCAAGGAAAATGACCTTCGAGCTGTCCAAGGGTCAAATGACATATGAACATTATGTTTATAAAAATCTTTTCTACTTAGTTCAAATTCGAATGATGATAAATTACAAAAAAAGATCAAAACATCATATGTATTCTGGAGTGCTCGAAATGTCGTTCAACCTATTAACTATAGCAAATACTCGTATACAGTTTTAGGAAACATGTTATCATCTCTCTCTCTCTCTCTCTCTCTCTCTCTCTCTCTCCCTCTCCCTCTCTCTCCCTCTCTCTCTCTCTCTCCCTCTCTCTCTCTCTCCGTCCGTCCGTTCGTCCGCTTTCACGGGACATGATAATGTGGCTAGAGGGACAATAGGTAACTGTTATTTCTCTTTGATGTTATTCATTTAGTAATGCTTTTTGTGGCTATTTTCTTTTATGTTGCTACAAATAACAAAAGAGTGAACAATAGAGAAGCCACATTATTACTGTCCCGTTAGAACGTCTGTCCGTTCGTGTACATGAGTGTGCGTTGGGGTGCGTGTTTGCGAGCGTCTTTTAAAGATTGGACAAAACCAATATTACCTTTTGATGTACAAGTCTTTATTTGTTTCTTCTTTTACTCTGGCGATAATAAACTCTTTGGTGAGTGTTAACCTTAATTAACAGTGAAGCATATAGAGGTTTGAAAGGATGTTTTTCTGTAACATATTATTTGAATCTTACGAGACCACTGGCACTTAACTACAGCAAAAACGTTTTAGCACTATTCTGTCAAATGCATGATTATAGAGGATATTCAAGTTTTTTCTATAAATACATGATTTATTTTCATCGAGTGGTATGAAAATAAATATTTCATTAGTGGCGTTAGCCACAAGTGAAATATGGTAATTTTCATGCCACAAGATGAAAATAAATCATGTTTTTATAGAAAAAAACTTAAATTTTCTGTTTATTATATACATTTTTCTCTTTTTTGACATTAAAATTTAAAAGACTTTCCTTTAAATTTTGTGTACTGGCAGAATTTAAAAGAAAGTAGTCCGGCAAGACACCAGTGAAAATACGGAAAATATGTTTCACTGCAGTGAAAAATAAATTTTTACAGTGGAAATACGGAAAATGAAAATACGCATTTTATTTCATCAATATTTCTCAATATTTCATTTATAAGTATATAATAAAAAGTTATACATAACCACAGGCCTTGTCAAGAAACAAACTCGTCATATTTCAATGCATTGAATGACATGCACAATAGTATCCGCAGAACTTAACTTTATGTTTTTTATTTATACTCTGTTATATGCTATTAAAATAATTTTTATTTTTCCTAAATTACAGCAAACCCAGATGGTAGAGAGGCAGGCGATTATATGAGTAAAACAGGTAACACTGTTTTACATTGTTCTATCTGTCTATGTGGGTTTTTGTAATACGTTCAAGGATTGTCCTTTAAGTTCGTATATCAGCGAAATTATAATATTATAAAGCATTATTGTATATGTAGGACAATTATTTGTATTAACAATCGAAATATCTAAGCACACGGCAAATAATTTGCAAAAATTCGGCATAAGTATTTTTAATTCATATCTTAACAATCGAAATTTTGCAAATCGGCACATGTAAAGAAATCGGACATTTGACTTCAATAGTGTACAATCAATAAACTGCTTCCAACTACCATAAATTCCGCGAATCACTCAAAAGTGTTTTCAAAACTTAAACATCACTCACAACTTTGCTCTTACAGCGCACTTCGCTCAACTAACTTCACTAGTTGCAGGGATAAAGAAGTAAAAAATAACCACCTTTATCAAAGGGTAAAATAATATATGAAGCTACTTACAAAATATTTGCAACTGTGTTCATATCCGAATTATAATAAGTTAAAAAATTGAATAAACAAAAACAAAATGTATTCTCGGGTGCTCGAAATAGTCGCTAAACTTACAAAAAATATGCAATTATATAGAAAAATGTACAAATCCTTAGACGGATATTCAAAGTAAGCATGTCCGATTTCCCGCTGTCCCCAGATTTGCTCATTCTTTATTATACAAAACGTGGTATGCATGAGGTATATCCGGGTCAGGGTTTGTATACATGTAATGTCGGGAAATATAAGAAGTAAGTGAAAATAACTTCTGAAAGTGCCTACCTACATACGTTTTGGATTAAATTTAGACCGGTAAGCGATAGTATTATAGCTGCATTTTCTGTTTCAACTGTTTGCATGCACTGACATTAATTTTTTTTATTAAGAAAAAGATCGTTTTTCGTTTAAAATCTGTTGCCGCACCGACAAGTATATTATTATTTTTCGAAAGAAAACCATTTCTAAGTAGATTTTTTTGGTGAAAATTGGTTGACAATTAACAAAGATCTTGGAGGTAAAATGAGGCCTAATGGTAGTTTCGCTGGCGAATCTTTCTACCTTTATTATATTTATAGTATAGACGGATGAATTAAGAAAAACCTTTCCTTTGCTGTATTGAAAGTAATATATTTTTTTAAAAATTTGAGTGAAAAAAATAATGTATTAGTGAAACTTTTTTTTTTAATAAGTGGACATGGTCATGAACATGTATACTATAAAAGGCACGCACAGACTGCTTTTGGTCAAACTATTTGTCACTTCACAAAATCAATAAACATTTATGAGATTGGTATATGTAAAAGTTACTTCAAAAATAATTTTGCGTGATTAACTATGTCATGGTACAAAAACGTCCCGGTTAATTTATATTGTACACTAGCTGAGAATAAACAACCGGTCACGTGTCAATCTTGTTGGCACTTTCCGCATTTCATTCTGACTAGTGCTTCCGAGGGAATTTTTTTATAGTCTGTTTTTTGTAAACCAATATCATTAAGGTATGAAATTATTTTTATTAAGTAGAAATTTATTGCTTTAATATATATATGATGTTAAGATTTGAAATTGCTATGAATATTTATTTTTTCATATGATATAAACGACATATTGTGTGAAATGTTGTTCAACTATCGTATGTTTAACATGAAGTGAAAACCTGGCTTTCACTTTTAATTGTAACGATTTTGACCTTATGAGACTGACTATATATATATGATACTGTGTAATTGTAATTAAGAAGAAATCACTTGAGACATAAGAAGACAAAAATATCAAAATGTCCACCCGTTGAATTGTTCATATGTTTTAACTGCAGGTCAACAATGATAATGTTTGACATTCATTTTAAAAACTCTTTTTTTACACTATACTTAATAAACTTAAAATATATAAAAGTATACACCTATTTCATTACCTTCGCATTGCAGAGTATTCAAACAGGCTAGAACTACTGTCAACTGCATTGAATTTAAAGACGTGGGTTCTGAATACATTTCCGTCCAAATTTGTGCTAAATGAAATGTCGAAGTATGAGTTACAACCATTCAAGGATTTTTGTTTTGCGAAACAGAAAAAATAAATTCCTAAATAATTATGGCATGCAAATGGTCAATTTAATACGAATGTTGCTAAGTGCAAGATTATGTAGGGCATTGATCTTTTTTGTGTTTACAGGCACAAACGAAACGTGTGTAAGTTTAGGAGCTGTAGTTGGGTCCGTTATTGGTGTATTAGCTGTTGGAATTCTTATTGGTGTTATTTGTACCTTGTGCATTCTTACTAGAAAAGGAATTATAGCAGGTATTGTAATAACATCGGTTGTTTGTCATTTATAGAAAATCATCTTAGAAATATGGTTTACAGGCAAACTTAAAATAGATTAATAGTTATCGATTCAACCATATTTGAACATTACATTAGTTTAGATCTTTTAAGATAATGCTTACGCTTTTACATGTTTTACATAAGAATTAGTTTCCTTTCGTTTGTTGGTTGTTGTTTTTGTGTTGTTTTTTTAATTAGTCAGTAAATGCAGAAGAAAACGTGTTGTTATGTCTATAAATTATGTAGCTATACCGCTTGATTAGTTTTATAATGATTATTTTTGCTGTTATTAATAAAACAGGTTATTGAGAACAACATAATATGATATTCTATAAATTATTTACCATTTTCAGTGGTAACAATTCTTCTTTTATCAAACAGATCTTATGAATGTTGGTCTCTAATATATGTTATAAACGATATATTTTGCATATGTGGTTCTGAATGTTCATTAGTTTATTTAATTTTAGACGCAATAAAAAATTAGTATTTAAATGTTTTACATGTCCTATGATATTTGATAACACAGGCTCGAAAACTCAGCCGACAGTTTCTCGTGACATAGAATTAACTGGGCCACCAACTGCTCTGTAAGTTACGAATGTTTTAAAAGTTTTTCTTGTTCTAGATATAACATTACCAGTGGATTTTGTTTCGAAAATTACGATTTTATAATTTGTCATTATCATATGAAAGATCAGTTCAAAATTTAAAATGGCAAAACTAGGGAGAGGCCTAGTTGGTGCATACCATCAATTAATCTTAATCGTCTTTTGACTACAACGTTTAAACTGATAACTTTAGCATTGAAATTGAACTCGTTTTGAAAATCATTAATATTAGGGATACCTATGAGCAACTTCAAAACAGAGCAGATACTGAAATCAGGGGAACTTATGATTCTCTTGAAGGTATGTTGAATTTTAATATTTTTTTTTTTCATGTCGTTATTCATTTAACATGTATTTAATTTATCATTATTCAGATTGATAATTAATCTCTTACTATAGATCGTGCAGCATTCTAAAACACATATGTTCAACTAAAAATATTTTATTATTTTGCAATAAAAAGTCTAACCTTTATTTATGATGTAAACACAGCATAATTGCTATTAAAACGAATGATATGGTTTTTTTATCGAAATTTACTACGAGCCGTTTCTTTTTAAAAATTGTTTCAGTCAACTCCAGAGTACAACAAAACAGGTATGAAAATCATAAATATTTACAAAAGTATTTAGTTATTTCTTAAATAGCTTTAACATAAAATATCCATAAATACCAAGATTGATGTAACTGATTTTTAATGCAATGCTCTTCATAATACTAAATTCGTAGCCTATTATATATGAACATAAATATAAGATACATTTGTAACTAATCTACGGGAAAAGTGTAAAGTACATTCTAGCCTTTGTTAGACCTTGGTATTGTAGCTTATATTTCAGCTGGCTCAATGCTTCAAATTATCAACAATGATAGGTCGATGAAATAAGTTTAAAGTACATATTGTTGACTAAATACTGTAAATTGAAAATTTGGCATAATCATAATAATTATTGTTATTAGATCTGCATTTTTACATGCTTATTGTTAGTTGCTTTTACTTTATGGTTTTCATTATTCTTTGTTACATGTTCATTCATATGTCTTTTTTCAGTCAATCTCAGTATGAGAGTCTGAATCAGGATGCTGAGCAATATCACACATATACAGATCTAAAACAAAGCCAATAAATCTTGAGAATATACTTGAGAGACTGTCTTGAACGTTCTGGTCTATTCGGGAAACATTATAGCAGGATTGTTTGTAATATTTGTACTATTGTTATTTTAATGGAAGATATCGTTACACAAATAATATCACTGACTTTTCTTATAGATTAAAAAGTGTTATGCCATGTATTATGTTGTATAAATAAAGGGGTCGTTTGAAAAAAAAAATAGAAAAATGCTGTTTTAAGGACTGGTGATTTTTGGCAGTTATGTTGCTACTTGAAATATCAACATTATTCGTAAAAAAGACTTTTTAATTAAATGTTTATACATGTGTGCTTCACATGTGTAAAGCTAAAATATGTGTAATATCAAAAGTAAATTGATTGACAAATGTTAATTTCACATAGATGATATCAAATCAAGCTTATATTATGTTTGTTAATTTTGTTTAAGCGGGTGCGTTTTGTTATTCTAGTGATATTTTGTAATAATTATTATCTTATATTTTCTGTAAATAAGACATGAAACATTTGTATTCACGTATTACCTGTATATATATCACAATGACTATATGGTGGTTTGTTCACCTTTTACGACAACCCTTGTATCCATCCGTATGAAACTTCTATAAAAAAAATTCTGGTAAGATATGAATTTCCCTGTGCTTAAATTATCATGTGAATAAGGACAGAAAACTCATCAAATATCATTTTTGTTATACGTTCAATATTGTTTTATAATGTATTGATTCTTTGTAATATTTATATATATATCTTTACATGTTAGTTTCTTTGAACAAGTGCTGCGGGTAACCGGTATTGTTCGAATTAAATCTAGTTTGAATGCCATATATTGAGTTATAACTCATCCTTATAATTCTAATTAAGTACGTAAGAAGAATTCCAACAACAAGCAAAATTTAATATTGCATTGCTTTGCTCGATTTCAATCATAGTTGAAACATATGTAGTGAACCAGGATGAGAACATTAAAGGGATTCATAATCTACAAGTTTATTTTCAGGTTTCTGGCTCTTAAGAAATTTAGAATGAACCGTTTGTAATGTTTTTGCCCAAAATTATTTTTCAAAGGATATAGAAAAGCGATTTCTGTTCCGAAAAATATCATTATTATAGCAGAACAGAACAGAAACTTTATTTCTTGGTTTATGCATAAAAAGCTCATCACCATATTACATATACAAATACAACATATAATACATAAATGACACATGACATGAACATAATAATATTTCATTGCAAAATAATGGTTTATGTAATGTGAGAATGTTTAATGAGATAAGAAATTACTTAAAAAGCATATGAATATATGTATATAATACACAAGAATTTGTCTATCTTTACCAAACATTATCAATTTAAGCTGCAAAACATTTTCTTTTATGTTTGAGAAATTCGGTAATGCGTATCAATAGAATCCACAAAAAAGCAAATTCGCAGTTTTAATTGTGACAAATGAAGGGGAATAACTTATGTAACTTTACATATCCAGTTTTTAACATTTACTTCCCCTTAATAATTCATGATCAATATTAATAGAAATTATTTCTGTATGATAAATGAATACGTTTACTGATTTTGTACGTTTTTTATTTAAAGAAAATCCCACACAAAACAGACAAATAACCAAAACTTAATTATAAAGATAAGTTTTGTCAAAACATTTTATCATGGTATTTATATTTTTTATGTGTTGAAAAACAGATATATTTAATTTGAGAAGATACAAATATAAATAAATAAATAAAAAATATATATGCATATAGCTTTGTCACAGAATAAAGCTATTTTGTTTCAGTTCTTTCTTGCGATCAGTTTGCATAAATGAAATGAATTTAAACAATAGTATCTTGGAATGTCTTGCTTTCCTATATCTTGGAATGTCTTGCTTTCCTAACACAGAATATATCAGACATTTCAGGATAAAGTGAAATTCACTTTTATATCATTCATATAACATAGGATGCACTTTCGTTCATTTCTTGGTACATTATTATGTCTTCTTAATTCAATATTAAGTTTGTGTGGAGACAGTCAAATTTTGGCTAAATCATTTCTATATTTAACATTTTCAATATAATTTATATATAACGATTGTTCAAAATAGAGTGAAATAAGAATCCATAAAGAAAGCCCATCACGGCAAAATTGAAAATGTTGCTGACTCGGTTTGATTGAGCCTGTTCATGGACGGTATTGTCAAGTGCAAACTACCGTCCAAACCCCCTAGCACCGGCTTAAGCAGAATTTAACATTTAACATGAACTGGTAACATTTAGAATTTTGAATCATCCGCAGATGTGTTCATATGGCGGTTATCATGGAACCTTCAATGTGACACGTTAAACTAGTGCCATTCCATGAAAAGCGGTATATTGTTCCCCAGTAAAAAATGTGTGTGCCCTAAACGAGAAAACAATGGGCGGAATTAAATAAAATGGAATTTTGAACGGGGATCTGAGGTTATAAAGCCTGCATATCACAGATATAACGTCAAAAGACAAATTTAAAAAGCAGGCCTCATATCCTAAGAGTGATTCAACAGTTTTCAAGTGAGGAATACTGGAACCACCCGACAAGAAAGATGTCGAATATATAGAACTAAAATACCTCAAGCACAACAATAATGTCACGCTGAACGATCTTTAAGGATCAGAAATATAACATCCCTGATTGAAAATGAGATCTTATATTCCCATCTAACAATGATGAAGATTGAATACCATCATTCCAACAACTTATATAAATATCCCGTAATATATTCCTAAAAAAGGTACAAATAGCTTTATATTAATAGAATCGGGATATAACCAGACTTTATTAAATCTTGCTGACTGAAGAATGATTTTAACTTTTGAAGCCCAGTTTGTTGAATAATTTACCACATCAACATTATATATCTGTCTACACAATATTGTTCTCAATATACAATTATCTTTTTTATCTGTCTATAGCTTCAGAAAATATTTTATCATACGAATATGCCTTTCAATGTAAAGAGGAAATCTCCCAAATTCTGCAGATAATGCAAAAGTATTTGCTGAATGTTTAACATTTAAAATAAACCTACACATTTTTATGTACTCGTTCCAAAACTTCTGCATTCATAAAACCAATAATTCAAAGCCATAATTTAAAATTGAAAAAACATAGGCGTCAAAGAGATTAAACATAATGTAAACTGGTATTTTGTAGTCAAGTTACAATTGTAACAATTAATATAATGATCTGAGCCATTTTCCATCTAACGTCTTTGTAGCTTGCTTGAATGACCCCCACTCGTGAATACCACATCTAAGTAGTTAAATGAATTTACTACCTCAATTTCTTGATTATTATAAAACCAGTTACCCATATTACCAAGTTTACCACCTTTTCTGAATACAATTGTTTTTGTCTTTTCAACATTTACCGTCAAATTCCAACGGTTAAAATAGGACAATAAACTATCAAGTGACTTCTGCAAACCGGACCTATATTCTGAAATAATGGCGGCATCGTCAGCAAATTACATCAAATAAATTGATATTTGGCCGATATTAAGACCAACGTCAATATTTTCTTGCAGGTGTAATTCGATATCATTTAAGAACAGGGAGAAAAATACTGGAGAAGTTAACCCCCCCAACCCCTGGAAAAGATCATTGTTACTATTAAAAACACCAGATAACGTTCCTAGATGTTTAACACACAATTTTACCTCATTATACATTGATCTTATAATTGACACGAATTTGCCGTCAATACCTAATTTTATACGTTTATACCATAACCTTGACCTATCAATACAGTCATATGCTTTTCTATAATCAACAGAACAATAGTACAGCTTATTTTTGTTTTCAATTTTCCTTTGTATTTAGTGAATGTAAGATAAAAACAGGATATTACAGGCATAACTGAACAAAATTGCTTAGCTTGGCTTTCGATATTTCTTGAGGAATATTTGTCAAATGTTAAACATGTTTGTGCAATATTTGGTATAAAGTTATATGCTTCATAGATTTTAATTCAATTTACTCAAACTAACATGTGATAACGCGCTGTCCCATACAAATACACAGCCAGTATTGTACGTTTTGTATTATTATTTTGCATAACCATGTGTTACTTTATTAATAAGTGAAATGGTTTATAATGGAAGGTTTGTGATACAGTAGATAATTGGTATCATACATGAAAACAAACCACGAAATATTATATATTTATATAATTATCATTGTTGTATACCATAGTGAGATACTCAACCCAATATTACATAAATTGTTGTAGAACATATCATATAACTCTTCATATAAAACACTTAGACCTCTTATCAACATGTTTATCCAGAAATATTTCATAATTTGTATCATAGTTTGGAGACCTTTCTGTTGAAAATGTGTCAGGGTTAAATCGTATACATATACATGCACAGTGCATTAACTGGAGTGCGGGTATTAGTTACCCGCACTCCAGAGCATGTCCATTGATTGGTTCATTTTTGCTGGGGTTTACATATTGTGACGGCAGAGAAAGGGAAAGCGACAGAAATATCATATTCAGATGTTCGTTCATTGGTCTTTTTTGCCGGGGTTTCATATTGTGACAACAGGGAACGTGTTTTTATGTTTGACTATGATACAAAAGAGAAAGAACACCAAAACACTCGGTAATCTGATAAATACTCGGGGGCTACGCCCCCTCGTACAAATCAGATAACCTCGTATTTTGGTGCTCTTTCTATTACATATTCTAAATGATACATTGCTACTGCTTTTATCAATATATTTGAAATAATTATAAAAGTATGTGTCACTTGTAGACCACATAATTTTAGAAATACTACAGATTTATTAGTTTCTTATATTCCTTTTAGCATACATAGTTTATATATTGGTGCATAAAAGGTTCTTATGAAGAAAATGATCCATTATTTAAAATATAATAGACTAATGAACTATGAAATTATGAAAATTTATTTCAAAATATGACCTAATGTCGTTTGTTAACTTTTAACTGCTAAATCGAAAAGTGACTTGCCTAGAGCCCGGAAAGCTTTTGCATATGGGCAGGCTGACTTGCCTAGAGCCACACGAGCTTGTAAATCCGGGCATTCTGACTTGCTTAGAGTCAGGCAAGCTTTCACATCCGGACAGTCTCAATTGTCAAAAGTCTGACAAGTTTGTAATCCGGACAGTGTCTGCCTTGCCTAGAGCCTGACAAGCTTATCCATCCGGTCAGTCTCTGACTTACAGAGAGCCTAACAAGCTTGTACACCTGAACAGTGTCTGACTTGTACTTGTCTAGAGTCAAACAAGCTTCTACATCCGGACAGTCTGACTTGCCTAGAGCCTAGTAAGCTTGTATATCCAGACAGTGTCTGTCTTGCCTAGAGCCTTACAAGCTTTACATCCAGACAATGTCTGACTTGCCTAGAGCCAGGAAAGCTTGTATATCCGGCCTTTGTATATTGGGCCGTTTGACTTGCCGCCCTGGCAAGCTTGTGCATCCTGAGAGTGTCTGACTTGCCTAGAGCCTGGCAAGCTTTTTACATCCGGACAATGTCTGACTTGCCTAGAGCCTGACAAGCTTGTATATCCGGGCATTCTGACTTGTCTAGATCCAAGCAAGCTTGTACGTTCGGACAGTCTGACATGTCCCGACCCTGGCAAGCTTGTATATAGGGCAGTTTGACTTGTCTAGGGCCTGGCAAGCTTGTACATCCGACAGTGCCTGGATTGCCTAGAACCACGCAAGCGTATACATCTGGGCAGTTTGACTGGTCTAGGGCCTGGCAAGCTTGTACATCCATGGAGTCTGACATGATTAGAGCCTGGTAAGTTTTGTGTATCTTGACATTCTGATTTAAGTTTGTACATCCGGGCATTCTGACTTGTCTAGAGCCTGGCAAATTTGTACATCCCGGGCAATGTGACTTGCATAGTGCCTGGCAAGCTTATACATCCGGGGACTCTGAACTTGCTCACAACCATGCAAGCTAGTTAGATCCGGGCATGCTGGCATGCCTAAAGCCAAGCAAGCTTGTACATTCGGGGCAATTTGACTTACATGGATCCACGCAAGCTTGTTTATTCGGACAGTCTGAAAGGCCCTTGGGGGGGGCCCAAAACCCCCAAAAAATTTTTTTTTTAAAAAATCCGGAAAAGAAAAAAGTTTTTGATTTGGCCCAAAAAGCTAGTTTAAATTAGGTATTCTAATTGCCTAGGGGCCTGTAAAAATTGTAAAGCCGGGCAGTTTTGCTCGAAAAAAGAAAACCAAGGGCCCGATGATAAATTGGGAGTCCCGACAAATCTGGGCCAGGGAAAACTTGTAATCCGGGCATTCTGACTTGCTTAGAGCCAAGCAAGCTTGACTGGTCCAGACAGTCTGACCTGCCTAGGGCCAGACAAGCTTATACATCCGGGCAATCTGAAATGCCTAGAGCCAGACAACTTGTGCATCTGGGCAGTGTGACG